GGAAATGAAAGACCCCCCCAGTTTTGGAAACACAGCATTCTCAAGAAATATGAGGCCGTCTTGCAGCTTGAAAAGGACACCACTGAAAGAATGGATGCGCTTAAAGCAGGCAGGAAAACACCTGGGAGCCTCATCTGTGTATCACTTGGTCCAAATAGTAAAGACAAGTAACCCAGTTGCTTACTCCAACATCAACAAGGTGGCTAAGCTGCCTATTACGCTGCCTTTAAGCAGTGCAGCTTGTGAGAGGGGATTCTGGCATCTCAACATAATAAAAGCCAAGTACAGATCTCACATGCTCGTCCCTCAGCCCTGATGCACATCCAGTTGTCAAAGCAGACCACAGAGACATTTGACCCAAAGCCAGCTGTTGACCTGTGGATGGAGACAGCAAATCGGAGGCTACACCAAGGAGAGGGCAGCGCATCTGCAGCATCTTCATTATTTACCATGCAGGAGTCTGAAGCAGAGGACAGTGAGGAAGACTGAATTTAATCAGACCAAACTACATATGGGGTGAGTACCAGGACTCCATCTCCTGGTACTCACCTGAGTAACTCAACACAAAGGTTATGTGCACTAGAGGTGGGCGATACCGTCAATTTCTAATTGATGCGATACCAAGTAAATACTGGATCAGTATCGCTGATATGGATGATACTTTTTAACATACTAACTTGTTGTATCATGGAAATTTTGACCTTTGGTGTTTTTGATTTTTATTTATTGTTGCAATGGAATATTAACATTAATTTTGTTCTGTTCATAGTGTTTCTTTTCCTAATCTACCTCTTGTATAATATCTTTCAATCCTTACGTAATTTTCTTTCTATTGTGTGCACTTGCTTGTTTCTTTAAATCTATAAATCTCCCTGTCGTGGGATAAATAAAGGAATGGCTGATGTTAGCCCACTAAAACAGTATGTTTTAATGGAATGAATGTACATTGTTCTTTCAAGGTCTTAATTCCACTTTCTGAGTGGGCTCCAGTAACACATGACATTTAATATCTACTTTGAAAGTTAAGATAAAGGTGATCACTCTCACCTGGATATTATCTAGAGGTCTGAAGCGCCTGTCTGAGGATCGAGGGTCTGTTGGGGCGATGAGTGAAGTTAAGGGCATTTTTTATGTACCGGTAACAGAAAATCCCTTCCACATGGATGTATCCTCTCTTGCTCCAACCATCATACAGCTCTGCCCTAACAGCTTGAAAGGGAAATAATTAACCTGCAAGCTGAACTCAGAGTAGGTGTGGGCAACTTCTGGAGCTTGGTTTCTGAAGCAGACTGTCCCACCTTAAAACCACTTGCACAGTAGCTGATGTCCTTTTTGAGCACAGGCAAGTCAACATTTTCAGCTGGGAACTTTATCAAGAACAAACGGAAAACTGAGCAGGACTGAGCAATGCTCACCTTGAATGCCCCACTATAATCCCAACAAGCTACAAATACAACATTAAAAAAGTTAAGGGCATGCATGCCAGCTCCCGCTCCTCTCTGTATTAAAGGTCAAATAGAGAGGAGAGCGTCTAGATTCAGTTTTATGGTGTGTGATGGTAGATTATCCTTCCTTCTCTCTAGGTGGTCTAAATTGCGCTAAAAATGCTCCCAGTAACAAAAATTGAGAGATTTTCCAGTATGCTGGGCGCCTCTAGAGCAGTCATGTGACCAAACCCAGCTGTGACGTCAGTGTGGTCAATCATCCTCTGGTGGGCGTACAGAACCACTAATTCACGCATTGCTAAGCACTCTGAGAGGATGGTGAAAACGTCGTTACAATGGTCGCTTGTACTGCTGCTAATTGTAGGAACGGCTTTGGATTGAGAAAAGGAATGTTTCATTATCCAAAGGAACCAGTTTTACTTCACATTTCAATCCGAAAAGTAAACAGATTAGACAAAAAGCATCCAAACCAATACAGGAGACTAAGATGGAATCACATCACAGCAGATTATTTATCATCAGTCCTGCTCTCACAGCATCAGTTGGATCCAATAAACCGAAGTATCAACAGCTTGTTTTCTGTTGCTTTAATAAAGCGCTATGAGCAGAATCGGGTAAAAACCACATCCTGAGGGCAACGTTTCCCAACCAGACAGCAGAAAGGATCCGGTTCTTGGAGCGTTCGCTGCGAATGGGTTACCAAGGGAACGCTTTCCCCATCCAGGATCAGCGGCGGAGCCCAGCCTGCTATCCAGAACCACACACAGGGCTCCAGTACTGACCGCCAGCCTTCACGCCCGCCGCAGGAGGTCGCTATCGACCCAACAGAACCCAGCCACCACAGAACCAATCCCAATCCTCTGATCCTCTCTTTAAACTAAAGGTTAGACTCTGGTTTAAACCAATTCAAACTCAGCAGCATCTGGAAAATGTTCTGATGGATAATGAACTTCCAGCGGCTCTGCATAAGATCAAAGAACATTTAGCAGCGCTGATTAAACCAGCGAGCTTTAATAAAACCACCAAGACTGTGATTGCTTCCTATTTGACCTCATTAAAGGAGAAAACTCCATCACAGGTCAATAAATATTCACTCCATGTAAAATGACTTCTTCCTGAATAAACTGGCGTCACAGCATCCCTCAGTGGGTCACATGACCCAATGAGGAATTTAGCATCTTCTGCCATCTTAGTGAATTATTTAATGCTATAAACAACAAAATGATGGAAATTAGTTCACTTCTGATGCATTTCATTTTATACATATTATAAAATGAGAAACTAGAAATATGTTTTTTCTATTTGAACTTTAAAGTTGTAAGGAAATCATATTTAGGTGTCAAATCATTCTGGCTTAAACATGTATATAAATTTACTGTTTATTGTGCCAAAATTTAGAAAATTTCTATTTAAAAAAAATCTTGTCCTAAAATCTGTGTTTTTTTCCGTTATCTTCTTCAGGCCAGTTAGTTCTACGTCAGCCTGAACACCTAAATTCAGCCAATCATATATCAACGGTCATCCGTCAATCAAATGTTT